AGCACCCCTGTGGTGTGGAAAAGAGCATTCTGCACAGGAAAGAAAGCGTTTGTCATCAGGCAGCAATTTCGAGCACGTTGTGCACTCTTTTTCAGGTAGGGAAAACTGGCAAACAAAAACTGTATCGATGTTCGATCACGGCGGGTGAGGCAGACCTCTTGCTTTAAAATGGATGTTGAGGGTGATAGAAGTTCCTTGAAGACCCTAATAACAGAGGGAGTTATGGTTATTCAATAGCCCAGTTGTTCGCAACATTTCGAAAACGTATCTGATCCGACTAGCGGTCGCCGAGTGATACACGCGGTAGTCGAGTTCGTGGCGCAAATCTTGCCATTGTTGTAAAAAGGTCACAAACCGGGATCTTTACTGTGTTCAATCTAAGGGAACTATGATTGGGGCTTCGAAGTTGTTATTGACAAGCCGAATGTGAGCCATCGGGATTACTTTTCAGGATAATATATACAGAGTGGTGTGAACAAACGTTTGGATTCTCCAGTTTCTTATTAAGAATATACTGGCGCTTTCAAGAAACGTTTCAGTAGAACGTCTGTTTGAAAAACACTCCCAGCGCGGGTATGATATACGTAGAATTGTTTAATGACGTTGACTCCGTGTTTTACCAGGAGACATCAGATCAGGCCACAAGCAGATTTCCTCTATAGCGACAGTAAACTGCAGGAAACTAAGCACTACCCCTGTGTTTCTTAGTACATTCCTTAGAGCTTACTTCTAAAGTCCGGAACATTAAATTAACATATTGTTAGTAGTCGACGCTAGCCGCGGTTTCTTTCTGCTTAAATAGTTAACGCGGCACTGACAGGTAAAAATCATGTCCTTTTCATTATCAGAAACACTTAAAAACAATGCATGGAAATTGCTCTCAAAATTCAAAACTCAAAAACTCATTGCTTGTAAAGTAATAAAAAGAATTCGAAAAAACCGATTTTGAAGCTTTTGCGCAAAAAAACCTTTGTGGTTTAAACTACAGTCTATGGCAATGGTAAATGGTTTAGTCGCTTCTGCCCAGATTCCATTCTAAGCTTAGACGTTGCCGGTGACTTCATCGTACGGCGACCTATGCTAAAAAGAAAGTTCTTCACTCAGTGCCACTGGAAGCACTGCATAATGACTCGGGCCCGCACGCATGCCCTGTTGGCGGTGTCCACGGGATCCAGAGTGGATGGGAGATGAGACTGACTTCGACGTCAACAGGGGCGGGGGGTGGGGGTGACTTTTGAAGGGGAAAAGTTGGGGAGCATGTCTCGTTTTGCGTGCGGTCTAACGTGTGCAGTGCAGGTCCAGCTGTGATCATCACAGCCGACTCTTCAGGCTAGTGCTGAAAGCACGTGTTTATACATGGAAAGCGCCTAGGCCCGCTGCACCAAATTCTAATTGCGGAAGTGGACCAATAAAGATAATTTTTACTACTGGCCTTTTCTATATTGCTACTATTGACTGGAATAATACAGCATAATTATTGTTTAAGTAGAGCATGTGGGACTGGTTTGTGGAGTAGTGTGTCTGACTTGTTCTTGATACAAAGTGCTGTGTAAGATAAAGCTCTTTGGATATATATGCAGAGCTTTCTGTGGAGTGCGAATGTCCCTCGCCGCACATTAAACTTGACAAAGTCGCTTTCAGATAGCTTCAGGTATTTAGTACTATATGTATTTTTATCACATTCTGTTGCTTGCCGAAGGTTACCGCTCTGCGGATGGCATGATATTGTCACGAATGACGAGGTGACAAAAGAAAGAATACTCGAGGAAAATAAAAGATTTAATGGGGCGAACTTGCACCCAAAACAAAAACAAAACAGAAAAAAAGAACAGAGCGTCGCGGACATCGAAGTCGGCGAAGCAGCAGGATCAAACGCTGGGCGAAACTGACTCCACTCGCCATGCAGAGTCCCTTATGTACAGGCGTAGGCTTCTGGAACATTCGGCGCAGAACTTTTGGCGCGTATAACATTCGGAACTCGATCAGATGACAATTTTCTTGAACGTACGAGAACGCCAATTTTAAAGAATAAAAAGAAGAACCTTCCCCTGACTGTGATCGAACCTAGGCGTTCCGGGCGACAGTCCCGGAACGTCTAGGTTCTATGTCTAGGAAAGCGCGGTAACCACTCGGCCACGCACGCGTCCGCTCGGCGGTGCGCGTGGCAATATCGGCAAATGTTTTCTTCATTATTGTATATTCATTTGAACTCGTAACCCGAGATGTCATTTTTGCTACGAACGTCAAAAACCAATACCAACCATCCTCAATAAACAAGAAATGAACTCCTGCAGTGGGTGTTCGTCGTACAGTTTGACGGACATGACACAAACGTCAAAACCGGTTAATGTGCAGGCGAGCTCGTGTAAGCTATACATGAGGATTGAAGCCTGTCCCTTTTCTTTTTGACTTCATTCACGAGTCTTCGTCCTCCTTTTTTTCTTTCTCCTTTTCTTCGTCCTTCACGAGTGCCCGTTTCTCAGACCACAGTCTAAGGTTTCAATCATCATTAATACAAACATATGCAGTGCAGACGCAAAAGCTGTTTACATTCGGGACTAGCTAGTTACGAATTACACAGACAGCCTACATAAACAAAAAAAAAAAAAAGAAACGGTGACGGACAATGAAAGTATTGAAAGGAATTCTATTAAATAATTATTTTATATGTATGTTTAATGTTAGTGCACGCAATGATTTTCCGTAAAAAGTAAATATTCACGGATAAGTTGTATTTAATTATATTTGTTCACTTCTTTATGTTGGAGGATAGGTTGGCCAAAAGTTTTATTAGGGATACGAAGATGGTGTAGTACAACTTCGTCGCATCCCAAAACCATAGAGATGTGCTTTTGCCATGATTATTGTTGCACTTAGGGTGCGCTCTGTCCACTACCATAATTGTGCTGGTCCACCGGATCGGCCGTTCATTTTATTTTAACGCATTTCTCTGCTCTCACAAGATCCGCTCACCATTTAAAGACATCGATTCTTGTTTTAAATGAAAGGCGAATTGCGTACGCCCTGCTTTGCGAATTGTCGCACAATAGTGATTTTTTTTCTAAAGTTTTGATGACTATCGTTTCTTCCGAGTTTACACCTAATGTAAAGCATCTAAATGTAAATTTTTTATTCAATAGGTTTGGCACTACCGGCAACGCAACCAACCCCAGTGAACTTACCTGCACGTTGCTGGAGAAATACCCCTTTCTGTTTTGAGAAGATTTCCACATCGGGGCTACCGGATCCCTTTATTGATGCGCCCAGCCAAGCCTGGGAATTTCATTTCGTAACAGCCCCGCTAAGCCTTGCACACTGTCGGCTGCGGAACTTTCACGAAGTTCGCCGTAACATCTTGGAACGCCTGGGCACCATTTAGCCTAGATCCGCGACGAGCTGCAGCATCTGTGAGGGCGGCAAAGCCTGTATACTCGCGCTCTCCTCCATCGGTCAAGACGGCAGAATGCTCGCTAGGGTCGCCTTTCTGAAGCGGTAAGAAACAAGGCATTCTGGTCACTGCAGTGTTTTATTCGGTACTGGCGATCCCTGAAATACCGTCCTTGTACATATCTCAATTTTTGCCGCCTTCGTCGTCAAAGACGATTTCTTCTGCCATAAATACGAAGTGCGCGAACTCCGCGAACGGCTTGTCGGTCGCCGTGAAACTGCCAACTCGCGTCGAGAAGCTTCTCGAGGCTGCGCCGGGGCCAACTTAAGATCCCCGAGAAAAGAGTCAAATATTTCATCGAGTCGAGAAACGTTTGGAGTCGAGGCCTATTTATAAAGCGCAAAAGCAGCACCATGTGGAGTTTCGAGTTGAGTTGCGAGCCAAAGCTCGTTTATCAATCGGCTCTTCCTCTAGCACTGTACACACTTCAGCTCCTCCTTCTGGTTGGTAAGGGAAGCTTCCACTGCAGCAACACTTCATAAAACCGTGACTGGAAAAGTAACGCGGTGCCGTAGTACCGCCTTTGAAAAAAAAATTCTGTTGAAATCTGTTGCACAAAAACCGTAAGAATAGACGAGATACGAAATCGATTGAACGTCCGGCATAACGCTGTGCACTGCAATCTTTTTTTGCGTCGACATTTCTCTGCTGTTTTTCGATTTCGTAACGTTGTTATCAATTGAGGCCCGAAGCTTACCGTCATCGAACCTCATCCACACGTGCGAGCTAAGGGTTAGTATTGCTTTAAGCTCTTCTAGCTTATGTACGTGCTCGTCGCCCCGCCGGTCGCTGGTTTCTCGCCGCAACCAGCATGGCGGACGCACACTTTACCTCGAAATTCGGCTTTGGGCGCCGGCAAAGGCACATGAGCGGTAGTGTGGTTTACGAAAGCTCTTTTTCTGCGCGAGTGCTTGTGCGAGCGAACGATTTTCAGAAATACGCTTTCGCGCCTTGGCCTTTGCAAGCGCCGGTCTACTGGTGAGACTGAGCATGTTCTTCGGCTCCCCACTAGATGGCGCTGTGCATATCGCAAATGGTCTCTTCTAAATATTCTTAAAGAAAATAACTTAACCGTAGATTTTTTGCCTGATTTCAGCGCCATTATTCTGACAGCTTGCATTTCTACATTCAAGTGGTCACTTAGTTCCTGTTTCCTTGAATCAGAACATTATTTAAGTTTTTGTTTTTTCTGAAGAATTTTATTATGAGTCTATATTTAAAGTAGATTGGTAGTACTGTGATATGAACACGCTAGGGGACGTTGTATAAAAATTCGTTGCTTAGCGAGGTTCCTACAAGAGTTGAACTGTAACGCCGCCGATCTTGTTACTTTGTAGTGAATTTTTGTTTTTAATAATGAACTGAAAGCTTTATTTCTATGTACTAGTGCAAAACCAAACGGGATACAAACCTTCTCAACGACACGTGTACTGGGATAACATTGTCTCGATACTCATTAGCGGTTTATATATCTCATACTTTTTTCTTTAATTTAAGCATGAACCAAATACATCTATTTTAATTGACTCAAATAAGCGTTACGACTACGAGAGCAAATATGAAAGCTTTATTTCCGCAGTATGTATGTAAAGTAAGAAATCTGAAAATGGGCAAAGAAGAGTAGGTTAAACGAATTGATTGCAGTTGTATTTGCCGAGTCAGATTTTACGTGCCACCAGGGTAAACCTGAATGCGTTCGAATTCCCCAGGAAAGACCGAAGAAGTTCGTTGGGTCGGTATCTTTCTATCTTGAAGCCGGCATCAGTGACAGATTCTTTCAGTACATTTTCGGTGAGGTTCGAGTGAGGAAAATCAAAGGTTCCAACGGGATAGCTCTTTACGCCACCGGCGCCGATAATGACAAGCAGACCGCCAGGTTTGACGAGTGGTGCTACATTACAAATCACCCTTCGGAAAGATTCGTGGTCTGCTGCGGCCGCGTCCAGGCATCCAGAGGAATAAACGACGTCGAAGATTTCCCTGTGTTCCATCGGGAGCACCCCGGGCTCCAGCACATCGCAGGGTATTACCTTGCGGATGGCTGTGCGTGTGCGCTCGAGTACTTCCAACGCCCCCTTCTTGATGTCGCTGGAAAACAGAACGAATAAGTGGTGGTCAACCTTTATGCAGTTGCGTATTGTGACGTTGAGACAAGATACGCGCAAAAAAAAACATAAAACATCAAGTCTTGCCCTACTGAAAAAAAGCATTCGGCGCCTATATGCCCAATAAATATGATTTTTGTCTTTTCATTGAAAACGCGTTGACTTCTTGTTGACTTTGATTACTTCCTTTTGACTTCGACTTTCTGTTGACATGGTCAACAGAAAGTTTGTTGACTTTGTGTTAAAACGTTTCTGATACTTTTCTTCAGCCTGAGTCAAAAGAAAAGCTGTTGACTTTCTATTAGCTTTATGTTGAATTTTTTTTCGGACTTTCTGTTGACATGGTCAACAGAAAGTTTGCTGACTTTCTGTGGAAACTTTTCTGATGATTTTCTTCAGAGCGAGTCGAAAGAAAATTTTCTATTAACTTTATGTTGATTTTTTACTGCTGACGTTCTTTTGACAGTCTCACCAGAATGACTGCGGACGTTCTGTTTACTTTGTGTTGAAAATTTTCTGTTGGCACTCTGTAGCTAGTGTCAATAGAAAACCTACAGACTTTCTGTTGACATTTTATTGAACATTGTACACCTCGACTAGATGTCAAAGATCGCTAAGTTTTTCAGTAGATTCCGACAAGGTGAGAACGGAAAGCAGCTTCAGTTGCCCCGCCTCCAGCGCGAGCCTACTACCCTTGACAACGCTTCGGCGTTCGTGCACCTCGAGCGCGCGCGTGCAGTCAGAGCACGACGGAAGGCATGGGGCGCGAGCTGGAGGCCAAGCGTTCAGAAGGCATGCCCTGCCGTTCTGACTGTGCAAGTCACCACTTTAATGACGATATTGAATAGTCAACTGGCAAAGAAAAGCAAAATAATTATTTGAAAGTGGAGAAACGACCTTGACTCGCTTCGCCCTTAGTGGTGCTATGCAGAGAAGCGATAATATATCTTATAGGAGCCGTTTTCGTGGATGTTGTTTTAGCGTCTGCGCCGAATTCGTATTAGTAGTACCAATGCTTTTTAGTAAGTGATATCGTACACGAACTTCGAAAGACTATTTTCCTTTACAGACTCCCGAGGAGAAGTTCAAATACTTGGAACCTTAATTAGTGCGGATGGTGTCACCGACCAAATGATTACCTTCAATATGTAGGCTATCTAAGGCTCTGGGGCAGTAAATGAGACTGTGATTTAGGTGTTCAGTGCAAATAAAAAAAAATATTTCAGGTGTTCAGTGCTTCATGGTGTTTGTGTTTGTTTCTAATGTATAGTTGTGGGATTACGTAGTTGTGACTTCAAATACCACAGGGACATAATTTCCTAGCCAAATATAAAAAAAAAAAAAAATTCGCGTTTTTTGCTTTATTTTGTTGCAGCTAATTTGGAGGAGTGGAAAGCCATAGTAAGCTTCCAAAACACTGTTGAATGAATAGCTAATCTGTAAAGATTTCTTTCTTTTCAATCTTCTGTAGCTTTTCACTTGAAAAGGTGCAGAAAAAGCATCTTGGAGGCGACAGAAAGTCTGTTGACTTTCTTATTACAAGGTGGGCCAATATTCAAAAGAAAGTCAACAGAAAACCTGTTGACATTTTATATCCTCTATTGACGTTTTTCAACAAAGTTTCAACAGAAAAGCGTAACAATTTTTTGAAAGGATGAAAGTAAACGGGTCCATGCCGGTCACAGTGTAGCCATACCGGTCCCCAGTTTGTCAAAGGGGTCACCCGTATGGCTGAAAGCCATAACGGTTGCCTATTTGCGCAAATAGGCCAGTCCTTTGGCAAACGGGCCACTCGTCTGGGCAGATGGGCCACTCGTTTGGGCAAAGTGTTGTTAGGCTTGCTCAAACCGGTGCAAGCGGGTGACCGGTGACCGTCAAACTGAACCGGTTTAGTCAAACGACACTCCGGAGTTCGTTTGATACAGAACGTACAGATCGTCGGTATGGGTACGCATGTTTCAGCCGTGGCAGTCTAAGTTTCCGGAAGGCCGGGAGCACCGGTTCATCGATTTCAAATCGTCCGCATTATGCAAGTATTTAAATCTATATTTCAATTGCGCTGATTTTCGCTTTAACTGCAACTGCAATAAGCTTCTTCTTTTTTTCTTTTTTTTTTACGTAAAAGCGCGACGTTGGCGAGCCGATATTTTTGAAAGAACTTTAAAACTTCGGCGTTTTCATTGGCGCCATCTACTTATTCAGCTCGAATCTCTATCGCAGAAAACGCAACCGCGTGAAAGAATATACTTCTAGACTCCGTTTCACCTCAATTCAATGCGCAGCGAACGCGTGGCTGCTAGAGCATCGAGTATTGCGAGAGCATGTCCGCCATAGCAGAAGGCAGACTACGAGCTCGCGCTGATCGCTTTCTTGGCTCGGGCACAACCCGAGTGGTCGGCGCCATTTCCGGCGTTCGAGCTTGCTGAAATGCGCGCGACTCGCCTGCTTTCAAAGGATGTGGAAACACATTGTGCTGGACTGGCCTGAGGAGTGGGCGCGGGGTTGTCCCGGTGTCTTGCGGTGCATGTGAGTACTTTGAAAGATATTTTTCTTTGTGATAAAGAAGTCAGTTGGCCCTATTTGATATGATCTCTTTCGTCTACAGCTCCATGCACCGGGTGTGTACAAACGTTGCTTTTTGTCGCCTTTTTAAGTTATAATATGCATGTAAAACTTAATGTCTGCAATACATTTTCAATATTGTTTTAAACTGCGTTTTTGTCTACGGTTCACAGTCATTTGGGCGTTTAAAGGGTTGAGGGGCTAAAGGTTATGACGGGTTGAAGGGGTGTGGGGCTAAGGGCTTTTCTATGGGGTATCCTTGAAGGGTTTTTCCGTAGGTTATTCTAGAAGGGTTTTGAAGGCCTGTGAGGTCCCATAATCCTTCAAGTCTGATGGGTCCTTTAGAAATATTTTCAATAGGGCGCCTTGACCTCCTTAACCGCGCCCCCTCCCTGCTCTCCACTCACAAATCACGTGACCCGAAGGAGAGGAGGGCGCCAGCGCGCGCGAGCTACACGCTGATAAGCATCGTGCTAGAGTGTTTTAGAGAGTTGTAGTGGCAAGAGCGGTGGCTGCCGTGTGAAGCATTCGCGCATAGACAACACGGTGGCGCTGCTGTTCTGAGCCCTAGGAACGTGCCCCGTCAGCCTCGTCGTCGGCGCTGTTCGGCGTGTGCTGCTGTGGTTCGACTGGAGCTTTTTGCGACACAGAACGATTGCTAATGTAAAAAATTGTAGGTTTTCCTTTGGACTAATGCCTGTGTGTGCTATCCTCTACTTTCATTATTCGCGTGTTTAGGTGGATATCATTTGGTTAATATCGACTCCCCCTTCCCAGTACTGACTGGTCGTTCAGCAACTCTATCGCTTGGGCTGCACGCTTAATAGCTGCGAAAGAAACCACGCTATACTGATAAAACAAGAAAAAATATAAAAAATAAATCTCAATGAATCTCTTAGTTTTTTAATGGTGAAGGTAACAATAAACTGGTGTGCTGCTTTTTGTTAACGTGTTTCTGATGCAGGGACCAGCGTTTGTAAGGTGCAAGGCCGAGCGCGTTTGGGAACGGCCAAAGTGCCACTGCAACTGGCGAACATATAGCAAATTTTCTTTTGTGGAAGGCAGTCGATGAAGAAAAAACACCTCGATTGGGGACCATGAAGCATTAAAATACAATATAAACACAAACTTCCAAAAACCCCTAATATGAAAGAAGAAATGTATTTTCAACTCACTATATTATGAATTCTCAAAAGTGATAGTACACTTCACCTACATACACAGCAAGCACATGAGAGATATCCAGCAACATACTACGCAAAAAGACTACAAAATAGTCATAATAAATTGCGGCATAGAATCCTAACCTCTTCGCCACTGACGATGCGCACATAATCCCGAAGAATAAGACGCGGTTCAAAATGTCTTGGCGAGGTGTTTGTCATCTAGATGAAGATCTTTTTCCCTCTGTAGTCTGCGCGACTTCTCATTTCACGCACAAAACAGCGACGGCTTGCGTTCGCTGGGGCTCCCCGCGGCTGCCCTTGTTGACCGGGTAGCCCGTACTTTCATCCCGGCGCGAAGCAGTGTCTGTGTCCGTCTTTTTCCTTGCATTTATGACCGAGACGGCAACGGAACGGTGAAGACTCTCCACCACCACACCACAAAGAAAAGCGCTACGGTGCTACGTTCGGGAGCCTACCGCCTGAGTATCGGCTTCTTCCTCGAATGCCTCGTGAACTTTTCGGCAGACTTTTTCTTTATATTTCGCTAGACTCTTAATATTATGCAGAAGTGGTGAGCACGGGCAGCGACTACACTGGATGGCGAGATAACCAGAAGGACTTGCTTTCATGGCTGCCGCAAATTCGCGTGCACGGTCATTGACATGCCTACTGTCTGACCAATGTACACGAAACTGCAAGTCAACGGTATCTCGTACACCACTCCCATGGCACACTCAGCATATTTAGTCCGATGTTTTATGCTGCATTGTTCTTTATTAGGCTCAAGGCTCTTGATTATGGGGCACAGACGTACCATTTTATGGGGGGCTGAGAATACCACCGGAATTTTGAAACGCTGTGTTACTTTCTTTAAATTAAAGGACATGTCATGGAAGTAATGAATAACTGCCCGTCCCATTTTGGGATTTTATCTTGCCTGTTGGTTGGCCCCTTTGAATTTATGTAACAATCTTTCCGCAACTTCAGCCAGGCACCAAGCAGAAAACCTGCCTTTTGTAGGTGTGAAATCTTTAAATTAAAACTGTCTTGCGCAGAGTTTTGCCAAGCTCGTTTAAAGGACACCTCCAGACACGTGTTAGCAATGCTCATTTCGACTATTTTTTGAGTGCGCAGACTCGAACGGCAGGATGCCTTTCTTGCATCTTGTCTTCTACTCCCAACATGCGTGGCCCTAAAGAAAGCGTAGGTTTAGGTCTAGGAGCTACGGGCTTCTCATAAATAAACCTCAAACCGTCAGAGCGTGAAAAACACATAGAGCCTCTCGGGTACAACGTGGTCCAGCGATCGCTCTACCATATCGCTGAGCACTAGGTAGTCATCAACGGAGCCAAAAAAAAATCACCCTGCTACCGATCCCCAAACTCTCAGCAATGGCGTTGTCGCAAGTACTTTAAAAAAATGTCGCACAGCACCGGCGCGACACAACACCCAATGGGCTTGTTTTGTTTTTTTTTCACTCTTTTTTGCTTTTGTTTTTTTGTCGTTTTTATGTATTTGACTATAAACCAGCTTCCCCAAATTGCCCCTCTGCAACAAGTGACATCACGTCAACGTTTTCCGCAGCGCATATTTCTATTCCCTTTCTTCGTCAGTATGAATAGGTTTACATATTTGTTCAGTATTATCACAGGAATGAAGAAACAACAGCTCCCGGGAGGTGAAGTGGTTTTAGTGGAAGGTGGAAAACGAGCCGAAGCGGACGTTGGAACTATAAGAGTCACAAGTATTAGGGATGTCGAATATGAGAGCCACAGATGAAATTACGCTCACGCGGTAATAGGTTGCGAATTCCTACATACCTATAGCCTTCGAAGCCAGCGATTTGCTCGGCAGGGAGGCTCCAGTCAATGGCGTCTTCTTCCTCGTTGATCCACTTGTTGATTTCGAGCCTGTTGCCTTCGACCAAGTCGCTCAGCACGATGTGCTTGAATCTACTGGAGGTCGTCAGCGAGCTCAAAACGACCGGGCCGCTACCCAACTCCAACAGAGTCTCGCCCTGAATAATATCTACGGAAAGCAAACGAGAGTTTTATACAGACCCAAATTCATTGTGCAACAAAAGTGAAAAATTGCATTGCCTCATTCTTGTTTTAAAAATAAACCTTGATCACAAATATTACGTATTTCGTACTCACAATTTATGTGTACACGAAAGCCCCGTTGGGACGTCGAACACCTCGCCCAATTGAAAACCGAGGTAAGAAAGTTACTTTGTTTCAAAGCCATCGGCATTTTGGGTTCTTCCAAGGTGCCCGCTCTTCACCAACCTGACGCCGTTATGCTACTCTTGCGCGTGTGTGCACATGCTATGTTGGACATTAAACGTGACTTTAATCGTAAAGACAACTATGGTCATCGACAAGGTGAGAACGGCGGCAAGGAGCATCATGTGTGTCACCTCCAGGTTGAGCTGTCTACTTTCGACAACGTTTCGGTGTGCAATGAACCTCGATCGTGCGCGCTCTGCTAGAGAACCGCGAAGGGCGTGCACCATGCGCTAGGGGCCGGCCGTTCAAGGTGACACGCACGCGTTCCTCAGTTTCTCATTAACAGGTAATGATGCCCTGCAAACATGCGTGTTCCTAGATTGTTAATCTGAGGAGTCACAATCCTGAATTAAACGAGTTAACATTTCGAACGCTGTATAATTACCCGACTGAAGAAAACTGTGAAGTTTTTCCATTTGGGAAGAGGAAATTTTTCCTGTAAAATGGTCATCCAGATATGACCGTGCCAGAAATTGTTCTTTGTAAGCATTCCTCAGGGCTTGGGATGCCATGCTTTCTACACTGTTTGAAGTGGAGACCCTGAAAGCGAATACAAATACGCTTAAAATACATTGTTGTTGACTGGATTACGACATGGAGCAGTTTATAAACTCTTTCTTCTCTGTTGTATTGTGTCGTTTACGCTATCTAGCACGCTTAACATTCATTTGCAACCTTACATATAGTTTTGCTTTGTAGAGTGTTTTCACCAGAAGCATTTTAAGATTTGAAAAAAAACAGGAGATAATAAAACACGTAGCGACGAAGACAGACACTGACTATCTTCACCCGATTGTGGATAATACAATGATTATTTTCACACATAACCACGTTTATTTGAAGTCTGAGCCCCACTTTTATGCAACCCGAGTTAGCGGGAAACACAAGGACAGACTTGGGAAAGCAATAATTTAGTCCTATCCAGTGTTGGCGGTAAGGCGTTACAAGGAACAGCGTTACCGGTTGCCCGCTACTTTTTTTTTTCGTAGCGTGTAACGCACTTGCTACTTTTTTCGAAAAATAACGGGTAATGTACTTACGTTACTTATTTTGAGTAACGGGTAACGGAGTTGCGTTATTTGTTACTTTTTCTTCCCGGCTTAAGCAAATTGCACGTCAGCTTGTTTCGTGTTTCAGGCGCTAAGTTACAGAAATCTTTTAGTTTTTTTTTTTTTCGTATTTCTTTCTAGTTGTTGTGAGTCGTTAGTTAACACCGTAACAAAGAGCTTCTGCGTGAACATAATGTTTCTTGATATATGGCACTTATGCAGAGCTGTAACTTCAAAACAGTAAAACGACTTCATCCATAATTAAAAAGTAAGGCTTAAAAAGAGACGCGTTACTTTTTATTTGTAACGGTAACACGTTACTTTTATTTTTAAGTAATGTCGAACTGTAACGCGTTACTTTCATTTGCCAGTAACGAGTAATGCATTTCGTTACTTTAGCTCGGTAACGCCTTCAACGCTGCTCCTAACCGATGACCCGTGATGATTTGAGTTTGTTTACAGGCGTAAGTTGAGCTAGTTCGTACATAGTAGAGATGCGTCAGCTTGTACGTAAGGATATAGACGTAGAAACGACAGGAGATGCCCAGGGCCAAACAAGAGTTGTCTATCACATTCACCTTTCGTGTGGTAAATGTTGCATTGGAGAAACAGGTTATTGCATAAACTACATAAGTAGAGGAAATGCAGCATGTGAACGGAACAACAGCAGGCCATTTATCAGCTCATTGTTAGACTTGTAAGTGCAGTGCAGCATTCAGCAACATCACCATTCTCGCAGCAAAAAGAATCCATTTTCATGAGAGATACTGTGGGCACTGGCCATCGAAGAACACAGGTAAGAATGTGTTACTCCCTCGTCTATCACTATCCACACCTACTGAGTTGTTACAATAAACTCTGGAGGCTCAGCTGGCGCTAGTATCTACGGAACTTCCGGTTGAAAATAGAAGTAGACAGCAACCAGTCTATTGTTCCAGTGTTCCTGTGGATTCCTAGGGGAAAACATACGTGATATTTCTCTTCACCAGGGAATAATAGAAGTCAGCGTATTTTTTTTACTCGTTACGGGTACTACGTAGCTTTATTCACAATATAAAAGTGTCATTTATTTAGTTATGTTTATTTTTATTACTCAGCGATTTTCAAGTTAGCGAAAATTGAGTCCCTTGATCTATGTTGTGCAGCAGGATATGCCAATGCAAGCTATCGATTCATGCACAATCGTTTTTAGTTCGGAGCAACAACACTCGGTTACTGCTTTATTTTTATTATTCATGCACAGTTTGTTACTAATTAAGTATGTGTTCTTCGTTTCATAACACCGTGCTTCGTTTCTCATCGCCGGTTTTGGTAGTTTGCTTTAGCATATATTAGCATCATTTTGGTGTTTTATCAAGCTGATTCACTCTGTCCTTCATAGCGTTGATTATAGGCGTGCATACGTGCCCTATTATGTAGGTCTGCAACGTCAACAGGTATTATACAAGTCTATTGTGCTATCTTAGTGCAGCGTTTGACGCCATGAACTGTAAATAAAAACGGTCTAACTGACATATTTTTGTGCATACGATTGTCAAAATTTCCAAACTTTTTATTTTGTCACAACATTAAGCAATGTTTGCCCTCATAATCAAGCGCGAAGAAAAAAACAGATTCGCATTTTCCTATAGGAACGCATTACCAACGTCAAATTTAGAGTGGTTTTTGTCTGATTCAAAATGCAAAAGCACCCTAACGCCACCTGAACTTCTAGCGTTTATTGTTAATAACTATGTCCGCACCAAAGAAAAGAGCATTTGCGGTGTGCAACGACCAGACGACCGTGGATCCACAGCAATCCACAGCAAATAAAAACAATTTCTGTAGTGCGCAATGCCCAGATAACTCGTAGAAAGAGCGGTATAACGGTCACTTTAATAATTGTTTTGTTTTCATATTATTTAAAACGGATAGTTCATTTATGCATAGATGAACAGCTTGTAAAAAAGACGATTACACATGCGGAGAAGAGTACAAAAGCAAAGTCGCTATTCAGCTCTTAGCTATTCTCCTGTCCTTTTTGTGTCTATTTCTGTACGTCCAAGCTGAGGCATCGATGATTTGAACATTTCTTCGTCTTCTCTTAGGTTAACCAAGACAAACGTTACTAGAACAACTCAGTGGGGAAACTGCCAACGAGCCTGGTCTGAAAAGTGGTATCGATCTGTACTCGAGAACCGAATTAATGGCCATCGCAACACCGCCATTTCTCCCGGAGCGGCCACTCAAGGAACTTCACTGATGCTCGTACTGTATCGGGAGTTTTGCATTCAGTACGGTCCGCTGTGACTGTTCCATATTGTCTTCAATCGGCCATTTGGGTGCCGAAACATGTATGGTGGAAGGGGTTTCAGAGATGCCAACCCCCGCCTTTCAAGTGGACGCGCCGCGTATTACCACCGAAGTTTATCTGCAACTAGGAGCAAAATCGGGCTTTTTTCCTGGTTTAAGCAGAGGAATGATCATATCAGTTCTCCTTGCTGATGGAAAACGTTCCTCCTCCCATATTCTATTGAAGACGTATAAAATCAGATCGAGTGTCGATGCGTGCAGATAATTCTACGTAGAGTAGTAGTTACCGTCAGGCCCAGGTGCCGAGAGTTTGACACTATGAAATGCCATTTGAAGTTCAATAAGGGTAAAGAGTTTTTAATGTGGCTCCCGTACTCCATTAGACGCCTTTCTGGTCCCATCGTCTTTCTCTTGTTTCAGTCGAAGGAATGATAGTGAATCGTACCTGGAACTCAAAATAAACTCGAAATATTCCTCGAGAATATAATCTTGTTCCTCTAGACAGAGCTCTCCGAACCCCGACCCGTGGACCAGATCCGACCAGCGAAAGTCTTTCGGCCGTCCCGCGGCTGGCCGTGGTCTTCGCAATAAAACCCGGCCCGCGGCCCGCTTTCAGTGGACACGCTGCTGCCGGCGGAAAACGTGTACTCAAAGAAACTGCGCAGCAGTGCGCTTAAAATGGCCAAACGGAAGAACGAGATAAACCGCATCCTAACGAGGGACCTCTCGCCATATTCTTTATTAAAACGTGTCATCACCAGCAACCATTCATGGTCGCCTGCTTTAAGCCTGTGTAACTATGTTGAAGTTACCTTGCGTTCTCGTGTAAATTCTGGTTAGTATCCCCTGTCACAATTATTGGATGTTTTCAACGTCAGCTTTTTCATTTTATTAATCGTTCGCACTGTGCGAATTGAGCCAAATTTCCGCTTTGATTGTGATCTGGTTAGTTTTCTGGGTCACAATTGTAGTGTAATGTCATAATGTCATAAGTTGTTAAATACTGCTTTACAAATAAAAGTATATGTATCCATACATATTATTGCTTCTTAGCACTTACTCTAACGTTCATTTTAGAGCGCAGCTATTAGGCGCCCGTCCCCGGGTTGAGCGGCCTCGCCGCCGGCGTAACCGCGCGGTGCATGATTGGTATATTTTTGGACTAAATTTAGCGGAAAATGTTTCCCGCTAAATCTAGGAGGAAATTTTCCCCGCTAAAGCTAGCGGGAAATTTTCCCCGCTAAATTTAGCGGAAAATTTTCCCCGCCACATCTAGCGAAAAACTTTCCCCGCTACATCTATAGCGGGAAAGTTTCCCCGCTAAATCTAGCGGAAAATTGTCCCCACTAAATATAGCGTTAAATTTTCCCGCTAAATTTGGCGGAAAAAGTTTCTCCGCTAGATTTAGGGAAAAAGTTTCCCCGCTATCTCTGGCGGGGAAAATTTCGCCGCTAAATTTAGCGGGGAAAATCTCCCCCTAAATTGGAGGCGAGCAGGAGAGGAGGAGGGGCATAGCCTCCTCTCCGTACCTCCTCCTCCGCTTCCTCAAGAACTGCGCTCTAATTCGGCGTTACTGGGAGTTGTAAACGTCTTTCATTTTTTTTTTTAAATACTTACCTACATTTATTTATATAATAACTTGTGTGTTTTTACTCCTTGTTTTTCTGGCACAGGAGACCACGAGGAATGACTAATCCTGATCTAGCCTTTCCGGACAGTTTTGTTTGCGAGATTAAAGAATGATGTTGAAAGCACGAGGTGACAAATTTATTTTCTTAATTCGATCGCAAACTTTTGAGGTTTGTGTGGATATATATTGATGTCTCGTAGAATTAAAAAAGTGTTCTCTCTGATTTTCTGCGGATGTATCGTGCACGGGTCTTCATTTGATTAAAGTAAAGACGTTTGCTTGATGTCGGATATCGGCAAAACATCCTCCATGCCTTTTGTTTTTCATCATTTGGAGCATTCTTCATTATGCCAAGGCTTGGGCGGTAGTGGGGGGGGAGGGGGGGGGAAGGTTGTTTCGAGGTCACAGTGATTGCCATTATGACTGTCTGAAGGATGCTGTTCGTTAGGTGTTCGTTCACTTCGTCAAGTAAAAGATTATTAAGAGAAGTGCGCTCGATCCATCAGGATTAGTTGACTTTTGACCAGCTAGAGCTAAGCCTAAAGGCTTAGCACTACCTTGCATAAAAATAGAAAACATAAAACTGTTCGCTTACAGAAACGTCAGTTAATATAAACGAGTTTGTGGGTGTACTAAAATATAGAGGGTTTATTTTTTCTTATACACAAATTCGAATAGAAAATAAACCGTACGACAATTTCTCCGTAGATATCGCGTCTAGCACTCCTCCATAACACATTGTGTGTGT